CAGCCTGGCCTCACAGCAGAGGGGCTCCAGCCCTCGGATCATTTTAGTAGCCCTCCTCTGGCCCCGCTCCCACAGCTCCACGTCCTCCTTGTGCTGAGGGCTCCAGAGCTGGACGCAGGGCTCCAGGGGAGGTCTCAGCAGAGCAGAGGGGCAGAATCCCCTCCCTCGATGCTGGCCACAATTCTCTTGACGCAGCCCAGGGTAGGGTTGGCCACCTGGTTTGCCAGCACACGTTGCCAGCTCATATCCAGATTTTCGTCCATCGGCACCCCCAAGTCCCTCTGGGCAGGGCTGCTCTTGATCCTTTCTTCCCCCAGCCTGTACTGATACCGGGGGTTACCCCACCCAGGTGCAGGACCTTGCACTTGGCCTTGTTGAACCTCATGAGGTTCACACAGGCCCGCCTCTCCTGCTTGTCCTAAAACATATGCTTGAAAGATGCTGAACATTGCTTATGGACTATGTAGCTGTAAGTGAGCTAGCTTTACGCCAGCCAAGTATTTTGGACAGCATGGGTGTCAGATGTTGAATGTTAACCCAGGGAGGTACCCAGTCCATAGCTGCCTGTGTTCCTGCAGTGCACGGTGCTAGAAGTCTGCAATACTTGTAACGTGGCCAGAAGTGTCCCAGCGTCATGGTGTGTGCTGCTGCCGTGCCCTGGCCTGCGGTGTCAGTCTGGCGGTGGTGGGAGAGGCTGTAGGTGCCTGGTTGTTCCACGCCTGAGTACTGAAGGCTTGCTAAACCGTGCTGCTGAGGTCTTGTCAGACACAAAATGCTGGTTGCCTGCTCCTGTAAATCAGCAGCCAAGGGCAATAATACAGAAAAACGCTTTCAGTAGCAGCCCTGTGCCATGCTGTATCACACGAGTTTGATACCAGTGCTCTGGATAGGGAAAGTGGTCTCAAGTTCAAAAGAACAGGCTTAGGAGATTCTGCAGTGGCTGCTTCTGCACAAAGGGATGTAATATTTTGGTGTTTTTCTTCCCCTGTCTGTTGTAGCAGACTTAATTACTGATTGGACTTCATGAACATAAATTCCTGAGCTTGCTGAACTCCTCAGCCCCTCTGCTTTCCACCATGGACCAGGATTACGAGCGACGTCTCCTGCGCCAAATCAACATACAGAATGAAAACACAATGCCTTGCGTAAGTACAAATGGGCTATGCTAAACAGTCCTGACCTGATTATTAAGTTGTTGTCTGTCTTGCCTGTGACTGCTTTCACTTGAGCTTTTGAAAGACACGGGACCTCTCTGAAGCAAGACTTAGTCTTCTGTTGGGCTGTGAGCAGATGTGAGTTCCTGAGCTCTTCCAGGAATAACCAAACAACTTCAACAAAGCTTTTGAATATATAAACTCAATTCAGGTTGCAAAAAGGAGTTAAGATATTTTTATGTAGCTGAGTAATGACTTTTTACCAAACAATCTCAGTAAGTACACGTGGAATGTAAAAAGTTGGGGACAAACAAACCAGCCAACTGTAGGGCTTGACAAGGTAAAGCAAAAGTCCAGTGGAGACCACTAAGATGGTCAGGGGGCTGGAGCAGGAAGACGCGGAGACCTGTGTTGCTCAGCCTGGAGAAGATGAGGATCAGGAGGGATGAAATTGTTGCTTTCAACCACCTTGTGGTTGGTTACGGAGAAAATGGAGTCAGACTCTCTTCAGATGTATGCAGTGGAAGGATTGGAGGCAACGAATGCAAGCTGCAATGGGGGGAATTCCAGTTAGAACTTGGGGCAAAAATGTTTGTGGTGAGGCCGTCCAAACACCCCAGCCGGGAGCTTGTGGGGTCACTGTCCACAGAGATGCTAAAAACTCGACTGGATGAGGCTCTGACCTTCAGTGCAACTTTGGAACTAGCCCTGTCCTGAGCTGGGGTCCTTTCCAGTGTAAATTATTCTGTGGAAAAGAATGTGACTGCAGTTGAGGAATCTGCTGCTTACCCTGCAAGCAGTCTGCCCCGCTCCAGCCTTCCATGCATTGCCCTTGACAGCATCAGCTTGACAAGGAGCAGTGAGAAAGAGGCTGTTTAATGGCTTCTTTTGACAGAAGTTCCCATGACAGATGGACTCTGACTTGCTTATTGGTTCTGTTAAGGGGATAAACTAATGCTTGGCTCTTCTGCTTGGGCATACTCAGCTTTGCCAAGACCTCACTGATGTTTTTCAGACCCCTGCTGTGATCAACACTTGTTCTTCTATGTGTCTTTTATTCTTTAATTCAGGTGACAGAGATGAGAAGAACCCTTACGCCTTCCAATTCTCCAATGTCTTCTCCTAGTAAGCACGGTGACAGATTCATTCCTTCAAGAGCTGGGGCCAACTGGAGCATCAACTTCCACAGAATAAATGTAAGTTTTGCTCCCCTCTCCTACAGCTCAGTCTTGGAACTGAGGAAATGGTGCATTTTGGTTTGGCTGGCATAATTGCTCTGCATATCTTCTGCACTGTGGTCTTCTGCTGCCCCAGAAGAGTTTCTCTGAATGCATGTCTTCAAACAGGCTGCCCCTGTGGGCCAGGAGACTTCTTGGTTTGTTATTTCACCGTATATTGTGAGGTTTCTGTATGGTGATAACATGTTTCTCCCTTTCAGGAAAACGAAAAATCACCAAGTCAAAACAGAAAAGCCAAGGATGCTACATCGGACAATGGCAAAGGTGAGACCATGCCTGTAGCTTTTATTTCAAACTGATGGTGAGTTTGGGAATTGAGGGAACACTGGCACGTTCGTGCTTATGCAAAAACTGATGCTGGTGTTTTAGGAAATGCCCATGTCACAAGAGTGAATACCAGGCCACCCCAATAGGCTTCTGACAAGCATCTGGGAAGCGAGAGGCTGTTTGTATCCCTTGTTTTATTGTGCCATGGAAGCACTTTCCTGATGGATTGGAAGGAGGGGAAGCTTGCTGCTAATCTTGATGCTGAACTGGGGCCCCAGGCTTATTAAGAGGCCCTGGGAATGTACAAGTCAGGCAGACGTGATCCTGCCACTCCCTGCAGAGCTGTTTGCTGTTTCTGAGTTCTCTGCCTAACCACCCGTTTGGGTTCACAGATGGCCTTGCTTACTCTGCCTTACTGAAGAACGAACTCTTAGGAGCAGGGATCGAGAAAGTACAAGACCCCCAGACGGAAGACAGGAGGCTGCAGCCGTCCACCCCGGAGAAGAAGTCTCTCTTCACTGTAAGTTGGTTACTTCGCACTAAAACCAATGGAGGTTGCACGTGTGCATCGCAGGAGCAAAGCACACGGTTCTGCCACGCTGCTTGTGCAAGTGAGTTAGTGTTGTGGCTTGGCCATGGTGAGCTGTTGGTAACAAAAGTTGGTGGCCTGTACAGAGAACATAAGTGTCTGCAGCAAGCTACATGCTCCCTATTTCTGTACTGGCAAGGAAGCTGAGTTGGAACCAAGCTTTTTTGGACAGTGTGGTAAATGACCAAATCAAGCTGTTGGACTTCAGTGGGGATGAGGTTTTTTGTTTGGTTCTGGAGCACCTGGGAAAGGGAGGAACTGAAAACTGGAAAATCTGACTGCGGGTGTTGGAGTTAGCTAGACATCGGGCACCAATGTGGCTGTGAGTGATCCCCTAGGCCTTGGGCATGCTGGGGTTCTTACTGGGTGTGTTTTCTTTATGCAGTATTCGCTCAGCACAAAGCGGTCTAGTCCAGATGATGGCAACGAGGTCTCACCGTATTCCCTGTCTCCTGTCAGCAACAAAAGGTAATACTGGTTCTCCACAGGCCGTGAGAAGGGAAGGGTCGGGACAGAGGATTCAGCAAGGTTCTGTAGGACTTCTGAGGCACCCGGAATCACTAAGTGAATCGGTTTTAGAAATCTGGGGTGATAAGTAGTAGGGACAGTCAAGTTCCAAGAATTTCTGCAAGTGCCCAACCTACCTGGATACTCAATATCTCGTGGCCAGGTTTCAGTAGTCATTTTACCTCTTTGCTCCCTGGCTCCTTTATAGAAGCAGAACCGAATTCCTTCCAGTCTTACCTGCTGGAAAGAATTTTGCAGCCTCTTTGTGCATTTCCCTAGAAATGCAGGTATGCTTTAAAGAGTGGCTGCGTCTGTCTGCCACCTGCTGTGGTGCGCAAGATCCTATAGTTGTTCCTATATCTGTCTTTGTAAACAGTCAGAAGCTGCTAAGATCACCTCGAAAGCCAACTCGGAAAATCTCAAAGATTCCCTTCAAAGTGCTGGATGCCCCAGAGCTGCAGGACGACTTCTACCTGAACCTGGTGGACTGGTCTTCTCTTAACGTCCTCAGCGTTGGCCTTGGGACTTGTGTTTACCTATGGAGTGCCTGTACAAGCCAGGTAAATGATCACCAGTGCCTGGAGAGTGAAGTGCCCGTTGCTGTAGGGCTTTTCCAGCCATAGCATCTTTCGGGGTCGCAGAATGTGCTGTGTGAGGGGTTCAGTGTGTGTAACACTCTGTCCCAGACTAGGCACTGGTTTGTGAGATGGCTGGCAATAACACGTGTTCTTATTCCCTACTTTCAAGGTAACCCGGCTGTGCGACCTCTCTGTGGAAGGAGATTCTGTAACATCTGTGGGCTGGTCAGAACGGGTCGGTATGACACTGTTGACAAACGCTTGTAGCCTAGACACTGTCGTTGTAGTGTACAGCTCTTCCTCACAGATTTTAACTTCTTGGCTTATTTTCCTGTATTTCCCCGAATTCCCTGTGTGCATCACAAATCAAATGTGTTTTCCTGTCTGCGCTATTTGTCTCTGCTAAATGAGAGGGGACAGAGAGCAACCTCTTGCACCTCGAGGTTCTCAAGGCATTTGTGAAGAGGTGTGGGAGGGAGAAAGAGCCAGTTCACTTCTCCAGCTCTTGACAATGAAATGTTACAATAAATAAATTCCAGCCAGGCTGCTTGGCCCTCAGTAGGGAAAAGATGGAAGGACTCTGGATGCTTTCCATCTTGTGGGATTGATCTCAAGTCTTTTCCTGAGCTTCTAGCTCTTGTTTTACGTCTGTCTGTACTTACGGGCTTTACTGATCACGGGTTTCTGTTCATCTAGGGGAACTTGGTAGCCGTTGGCACTCACAAGGGCTTTGTGCAGATCTGGGATGCAGCTGCAGGAAAAAAGCTCTCCATGCTGGAGGGGCACACAGCCAGAGTCGGTAAGGAGGTGGGAGGCAGAGGTGTCGCATGTTTTGTTAAGTCATGATTGAGCTTTTTTCGTGTAAGCGAGGGATCTGCTTGAAATAGCAGAACTCAAAAAGCACCAGAATCGGTATTTATCCCCTGCTGTGTCTTGAGCAGCCTTCAAAATATTATCATCCAGCAATTGTGGTGTTCTGATCTTGGGTGTGGTGGTGTTCGGGTATTGCAGCAGGTGTTTCCTCCATGTCTGAGGCATTTTAGGTTTGGTTACAACATCTTCTTTCACTGCCACTGGCTTCCGGTGTCAGCCCTGCAGGCAGGCTGCCTCGCACTGAGATTTCCAGTTCCCTTATTCTGCTGGGACTGGGTTTTTTTTCCTCAGAGGTGTTTTGAATCTGAGCGCTGGGGTGAGATTTGGGAAGTCGAGGCACCTTCTGAGCTGTTTGTGTTTTACTGCACTGTGACATGAGATTAGCAATACCCTCAGTGAGTTCGTGCAGGATAATCATTCTTTGGACGCTATTCTAGGGCTTCAGAGAGTGGATGGATATAAGGGAGGTCTGTAAGCACTGATTTTTTTTTTTTTTTTTTTTATATACTTTGGCAACTGTGGTGGCTGTGTTCTCCCTACCTGCTCCTGCAGGACTCCCACAACCTACTCGTATGGTATGCTCTGCCTGCGTTACAGGTGCCTTGGCATGGAATGCAGACCAGCTATCCTCTGGGAGTCGAGACAGGATGATCCTGCAGAGGGACATCCGCACCCCACCCCTGCAGTCCGAGCGGCGGCTCCAGGGCCACAGGCAGGAGGTCTGTGGGCTCAAATGGTCTACGGACCACCAGCTCCTGGCCTCCGGAGGAAATGATAATAAGGTATCGTACTTCCAAGGAGTCCTGCAGGGCTCAGTGTCCCCAGGTCTTCACCCAGAAATGTCAGACCTCCTTTCTTTAAGGATATTCAGCCTCTCTGAAAGGGGCTTTTGTTTCAGTTGTTCAAACATAAATCGTGCTAAGCTTCCACTTGGTCTCCTCTCTCTAATAAAATTAAAAAGGCAAATTAAATTTTACTTCTGTATTTGGCTAATTAAATCTGTAGCTTCACTCGGGGGCTTGAGTTCCACAAAGCTACTGCTAAGCTATACCTCCTGACTTTGTTTAGGTAGCGTATAGTCAAGTTTGCTGCAATAATGTTTACGTATGCAGATGGAAACAGAGTTTAGAGCTATAGAAGTTCTAATACCTGTAACGCAGGCTTGTAGTTCGCTGAGCACCATATGGAGGAAGCATCTGTTACAGAGAAGCAGTGTTCAGAGCCCTTTGGAGTGGGTTGCTAGGTAGTGAATTTGCCCAGTGTCTGTGTGACAGCGTGGTTGTACTGAGTTCCTCCTGCTTGGAATAACTTTTAATGAACCTGAGCATATTTCTAAGTGTGTTCTGGAATAATACAGCCATAAAGATGGAAAAGAAGGGTTTGAGTTCACGTTCAGTGACGCTGTGCCTTTGGCTTCATAAGCTTAACTTAAGGCCTGTTGGCTCCTGGTGGTAGAATGGCTCCTCACGGAATGTGGTGGCAGGGTGGGACTGGCCTCAGGACCGCAAGTGCGGAGCGGAGACGCGCGTGCTTGGGCAGAGCTGTGGGAAATCCTCTTGTTGCCCAACTGCCCTCATCCGTCCCAGTGCGACGTTGTGGCTTGTGGGTGTTGCAGGCGCATGGCGCAAGTTTGATCATGTCTCTCCTCCCTGCCAGCTCCTTGTCTGGAATCACTCCAGCCTGAGTCCTGTCCAACAATACACAGAGCACCTTGCGGCAGTAAAAGCTATCGCCTGGTCTCCACACCAGCACGGACTCCTCGCCTCCGGCGGAGGGACGGCTGACCGCTGCATACGCTTCTGGAACACGCTCACCGGGCAGCCTTTGCAGTGCATCGACACAGGGTCGCAAGTGTGCAACCTGGCCTGGTCGAAACACGCCAACGAGCTAGTAAGTTCCTCCCCGCACCGCCCTGCTGCTGAGCTGCCCTGTGTTCAGCAGCGTGACACGTTTCCCTCTCCCCTTCCAGGTGAGTACCCACGGATACTCGCAGAACCAGATCCTCGTCTGGAAATACCCCTCGTTAACTCAAGTAGCAAAGCTAACAGGGCACTCGTACCGAGTCCTATATCTGGTAAGCCATGTCTCCGGAAACTTCTGCGGCTGCTTATCTGCCTGCACATGTGTCAAACTGAGACCCAGAACTGCGGTGCCAGTGGCATTGTACGCTGCCTGCAGCCTGGGTGGAGATCTGAATGCTGCCCTACAGGCGATGAAAAAACGCTCTGTATCTGGTTTCCTTGCCTGCAAGGGATGCTTTGATTTGCTGCTATGGAAATGTGAGGCTTTATTAATGAACAGCAAAGCCTGCCAAAACTCTTCTGAGGAAGCACAAGCATCTCTCCTTGTTCCCTTAAGACTTGTACGCTTTTTCACTGGTGGCTGCCAGCAGGGGAAGAATCTGATGCTTTCAGTCCTCCTAATTTGTCGTTAAAATGCTTGGTGCGGTTAATCCACATTGATCTCGTACCTGCTTTGTTACGGTTACGTAGGGCTTTCAGCGGATTCACAACAGATAAATACGCTGATCCTGGTTTGTGAGGTAGATTCTCATGTAGGTGACTGACAGAAGTAGCACGTGCCAGTCGTGTCGCGCCTCCTGCCCTAACACGTATTTATAATCTGGGGAGGAATAGCCTCACTTATAAATGGCTTGGACTTCTTAACACAAGGATCCCTTTGTATGAGAATTCCACCCATGTGTTCCATAGCTGCGTAAGTAAGATGCAAGCGCTCGAACTGGCACCTCCTGATGCTGAATAAGGCACGTGAAAGCAGAGGTGGTTGCTTGGCTTCTCGCCACCAGCCAAGTAGGAATAGGAGAATTAAATCTCTCTTGTGCGTTCCAATGAAGATTTGTTTTCAACCTCAAGAATGTAACGGATGCTAAAGGTTGCTCTCTCTTGGCCTTAGGCAATGTCCCCTGATGGGGAGGCCATAGTTACAGGAGCTGGAGACGAAACCTTGCGCTTCTGGAATGTCTTCAGTAAAACTCGCTCGACAAAGGTAAGGAGGCGTGTGGACGGCTGCAGCTGTGTCCCGCAGGAGGCTCAGCCTCTGGGGTGAATTCAGTCCAAGTTCGCTCTGTTCTGCTGCCTTGCCTCTGATCTCCTCACCATATCCAGCAGATGGAGGGCTGGGGGCGGTAGGGGGTTAAACTTTGCTGAGAGACAAAGGGATTTGTAGTCATCAGATAAAACAAAAAGTTGCCTCTGTGTGCCCAAGGCAGCCTGACCGGGTCCTCCGGGCTGTTGAACATGGGGAGCTCACCCCGAGCCCATCTCCCCTGCGAGCGTGCTGCTATGAACTGACTGACTCCTCGGCGGTGATTATCCCCTAGCTCCGTATGAAACCGCTTAAAAAGGCGGCTTGGGTGGCAGTGGGATTGTGGATGCTGCTGCTGACAACTCGCTGTCACCAAGAGCGGGTTGCGCCAGATGCTCCGAAAGCTTTGCTGGGCATCTGGCAGAGAGGTCCCAAGGAAGGGGCCGAGAGGTCCCAAGGAATGAGCTGCAGGGAGCTGGCGTTGCTCGCTGCCAGGCGTCTCCCTGCCTTCTGACGGCTCTGGGGTGCAGCTTCCTGCAAAGCTGTGGGAATGGCACGCCTGCCTGCCGTGCTCCTTGCTAGCAGTTGGAAAAAACTCATGGGAATATTTATGGTATTGGACTTTGAATGGGAATATTTATGGTATTGGACTTTGAATGGGAATATTTATGGTATTGTATTGGACTTTGAACGGTGAGCGCAGATCATGCCCTGAGCTGGCGATACCTCACCAGATTAGCAGTTGTTTAATTAAAAATCAAAGCCCCAAAAAACCCACGCAACCAGAAGCGCAGGGAGTAAGGCTGCCACCTGACTGCGGGGTACTTAGTGCCTGCTTTGTCTTTGCTTGTCAGGAGTCCGTATCCGTTCTCAACCTGTTCACCAGGATACGATAAACCCCTGTCCTGCGGCCCAGGAGACGACAGCCTGCCATGCCAGGATCAAACCACTACCTTGGTGTGCATGGAACCCCAAACGATCAGCCCGAAGGGGAGGGAGCGCCAGTGGGACTGGAGGATGGACCCAACAGATGCTAATTAAATACGTGCTTGTGAACCACGCTGGGCAGTATTTGGGATGGGTTCGGGGAGGGGAGGGAACTGCTGAAGATTTATGGATTCATCCTTCATAGAGGGAAACGGGTACAAGAGAAACGTTAAACCAGCGTCCTCCAACCCTCGTGCCGTGTACTGGAGAAAAACGAGCGTGACCTGGACCCTTGCGACCGGACCAAGGCCATCCCAGCTGCTGCGTTGTCCCTCCTGGGAGAGGCGAGAGTATCCCTGCCTCGCTGGGAGCAGGTTTAACGTGCTGCTCTGCGTCCCCCTGTCCCCCGGGGGGCAGCTTTGGAGGTAGGAGCCAGCCGGACTTGTTCAGTACAACTGGTGCAAGGGGGCCGAACTCCTGGCCGGGCCTCGGCCTCTCTGCTTACCTGTGGGCATTGTTTGTAGCCTGGCATCCCCGTTCGTGAAGAAACCGGAGAGCTGCTTATTTTTATTTTTATTCCCCCCCCCGATCAGTACTGTAGTGCTTTGTATGATCGTCCCCGTCAGGCAGCTTGATTTTTGGGATGCGTGACAGCTGCCTTCAAACATACCATTTGGGGCTCTAAACTTCGGAGGAGTCATGAAGAGCCTCCACCTCCGAGGGAGCACATTTGGGATGTTCTGAAATTGCCGTTGCGTGCTCTGGGCTGATCCTTTTAGTTAACAGAGAGGAAAAACAATGGCTTAAAAAAAAAAAAAATCAGACCAACCACCGTGCGCGTGGATCTTCCCGGGGTGCCCTCCGAGGCAGGCTGGTTGCTCTGGAGTCTTCCTGAGGACACAAGCAGTTGAGGTGTGTTTGAGAAACAAAACAGCTCGGGCAGATCTGTGTTTCGGAGGGAGCGTGGCCTCTCCTGGCTGGAAGGGGAGAATCGCCATGTCTGGGCCGGGGGGGGCGGCGTTTTCTAAAGCAAGGAAGAAGCGTTGCTTTTTTTTTTTTTATCTCTGAGTCAAAGCCAGGGACCTGTTGTTGGGTTTTTTTTTGTTTGTTTGGGTTTATTTGTTTGGAGGTTTTTTTAAGTTGTTGTATGGGAAGAGAGTGTCTGCTTGTGTGATGAGTGCCGTGGGGCGTGACGCAAAGCCGTTGTCTGTGTGTGTTGCTTTTAATTTAAAGAGAAGCCGTTGTGCTTGCAGCAGCCCGTTCCTGTGTACCTGTGCCAACGCTCTCCCGCCGCACGCCCGGCTCCTGCCCGCCCCGGCCCTCTGGCGCGCTGGGGTGCGAGCGCTGTCCCTGTTCCCCTTCGGATTTTCCTGGCTGTGTATATAGACCTTGACCTGTTCTCTGTAGTGTGCGTAGGTAATGCTCTTCCCCCTCAACACCTCTTTTCTTTTTTTTTTTTTTTTTTTTTTTCTTTTTTTTTTTTTTTTCTTTTTTTGTACTCTGTGATAACTGTGCTGTGCTGACTTCTTTTCTGATTGTACGAGACACCGGCTCAGCAGCCGCTCGAGGCCAGCGGGGGGGGCCCG